CAATGGCTCTTCTAACAATGGGCGATACTCACAGAGGCACAAGGGAAAACATTGTTGCATTTGTAAGTCTCTTCTTTGGTTATACATTTTTCATACTTCAAATAATGTGTTGTTCATCTTAATTAATCTTACACCTGTTAAATTATGAACTCAGGACACAAAAAGATTCAGAATACATTCGCACAACTACCTGGCTCCCGACCCATTTATCGTCCCTTATCTGGAATACACAGGTTTTGGACATGTGATAAAGATCTCCAACTGCACCATTGACTCGAAGTTCATTCTTACAATGTTGGAAAGGTGGAGACCGGAGACCCATACATTTCACCTACCAATAGGTGAATGTACCATCACGCTAGAGGATGTGTACATGCTACTGGGTCTCCCTATCGACGGTAAGGCCGTGAACGGGTCGGTTCAACAACCCAACTCACAGTGTGAAGAACTGTTGGGTAGGGATATGGTAGAAGGTGGTGGAGCAAGAGGGCAGGGAATACTACTCACTGACCTGAAACGTCATTATGCAAGTTTGGAATTAAATGAAAATTCCTCAGAGAATGACAGAGTAGTAAAAGCCAGAACGTATCTTATGATACTTTTTGGTACATTTTTATTTCCCGAAAGTACGAGAAATAGTGTAAATTTTATGTACTTACATTTACTAACAAATTTTGAAAAAACAAAAAAATATAGTTGGGGTTCTACAGTATTAGCCCACTTATACAGTTCCTTGTGCAAAAACGCAGTCAAGGAAAAATGTACATTTTATGGGTGCGCATTTTTACTACAAGCCTGGGGTTGGTGGAGGATGGAGTCCTTAAACCCCGTCAACAACAACACTTTCGGTTTCCCGTACGCAACAAAGTAAGTCATCAAGTTATAGCATTTATAACTATTCTGCTCTTCCCAAAATATATGCTAAGAATAACATGTTTCTCATTTCCTTTAGGTACTGCGTGAGGGGTATGGATTACAGCAAGAATTCAAGATTCAATGTCGCACTCTACCGCAATATGTTGGATCACTTAGGCCCAGATGACGTACGTCGTAGCTTTTAACTTTTGTTCATTTAAATTATTTATACATTACTTTTGCGCTAACCTGATTTAAATTTTATCGCAGTTCATCTGGAGACCATATTTGGGTTTGGGCCATGATCCAAACCCAGAGGATGCAGCAACTTGGACTGCAAAGACTGCAATCATTCGGTTCAACATTGTGGAGATGCACCACAGCGACCGTGTGAAGATGCAGTTCGGAATGCATCAAGAGATACCAAGTGATCCAACAGATTTGTCCTCATGGCATCTTAAAAGGGTCGACGCCCAGTGGGGTCTTACCAACTGGAAAGACTTCGCTCCGGAATGGTGTAAGATGTGGCAGAGGCGTCACCGCTACGTCTTGCAATTCCCAATTTTCCTTACTCAAGGTAACATGCGACACACGGATCAATATTTGTCGTGGTACAGGTTGGTTAGTAACCCAGAAATGCACGTGTCTCATCCGAGGTACTTGGTTGACCCACACACACAATGGACACAACTCTCGATTCCCCATCAACAAACCCAAAACCCATCAACCTCCCACCAACCCCCAAGAAGAAACAGACCCACAAACACCCAACCACATTCCCCACCACAACACAACTACAATCAAATGTCGTACAACCAACCACAATCACCACCAAACTACCAATACCCCGATATGCCTCAAACCCAACCACAATACCAACCCCAATACCAGCACACCCACATACCCCACACACAATTTCAATCTTCCACATATCCCAATATGGCGCCCTCAACATCCAGCCTTAGCCCTGATATGGGAATGTCGGAAGATTATGACCAAGCCGACCAAACCTACCATCACCCACCATATCACCAAACCACCCAACATCCTCAATACCAAACACCCCAAGATCCATTTCCTTTCTACCCCCCGTACTCAGACGACCAATGCTATAGACCAACTATGGAACCCCACCCACCGCCAACACGACCAAACTTTGAGGGTATGGGTAACCGACTGTACCAGAGCGGATCTTCTAGATATGGAGATCTGACTGATTTTATGGATTCGGACCGCATTGACTTCGCTGGGCCATCGACCTTGCCGCAGCAGGAAACACGACGGCACCCAGCAAGAGAAAGGCGAGGACGGGGATGCAGAACCGGGGGTCATTACCGGGTTCCGGAGGATCACTGATGTATCTTTTTTTTTCCAGTATTTTTGTATCCATTTTTTTACTGTTATTTTAATGTAATACAGTTGGATGTAATTATTTTTTTTTTAATAAAAAGTCTATTTTGTTGATCTCTGTCCAACAGGCAATGCACAGAAAAAAAATAGAAAAAAATTTTTTTTTGCCCTAAAAATACACTTAGGCGCCATCTCACTTGGCTTAGGGCATGCCCTAACCACATAGGCGCCAAGTGAGATGGCGCCTCCCTTAAAAAAAGAGGTGCATGCGCCATTTCAGATGACTCCTCCTTTGGGGAGTCATCTGAAATATGGTTATTTGCGTATTTTTTTTCCGAAACCCGGTTATTTGCGAAATATTATTTTAATACTTGGTTATTAATAAAAAAAATTCCAACAACTTACTTAAAAAGATGAAATTGAAAATTGATATCTGGTCGGGTCTAGGTTTCACAATAAACTGTTTGGGGATTTAATTGTTATCTGGTCGGGGTCCAGGTTTCACAACGAATCTCTGAGGGTAATTGCTATCTGGTTGGATCCAGGATTCATAACAACTTGCTTGAAAATATGAAATTGAAAACTGATATCTGGTCGGATCCAGGTTTCACAGTAATTTGTTGGGGCAGAGGCAAACTCTACTGGGGAAAAGAAGTTAAACCTTGGTCGGGTTCAGTCCAGGTTCTCCTATATCTTTGAAGAGTTAGACTATTATCTGGTCGGGTCCAGGTTTCATAGTATCTTGAAATTGAGATCAACTGTTATCTGGTCGGGTCCAGGTTTCAGATACTCAAATTGTTATCCAGTCAGGTCCAGATTTTAGTAATTCACTAGGGAGAGTAGCAAACTCTACTGGGGAAGAGGCGTTTTGCTAATGATTTTGTAGGAATTAAACTGCTATCTGGTCGGGCCCAAGCTTCGACAATTGAAGAAGTCAAACTATTATCTGGTCGGGTCTGGGTCCATGCTTCATAGTATCTTTTTGGAAATAGTAAAGGCTTTGCTGACGACTTTACTGGGGATCAGGGGTTATGGCCCTATGATTTGCAATAATATGAAAGGAAAATTCAAACTGGAGAGTGTGGACTCAGTCGGGTAGGACGGACTCAGCTTGGGGAGGATAGACTCTGTTTGGGGATAATAGCCTCGGCTGGGGAAGATATACTCAGCTGGGGAAGACAGACTCAGTTGGGAAATTTTGTGGTGTCTTGATTGTTGTATGTTGGGGAAATTTGAACTCGGCTGGGGAGTTATGTTATCTCGTCGTTTGCTGGAGAAGATAGACTATGCCGGGGGAATATAGACTTGATTGGGGAGGATGTACTCGGCTAGGGAATTAAGTTTCTTTTAGGAAGAGATCCACGAGGCTTCAACTTGTAAAAATCGACTTAGTTGGAGAGAGAGCTGCCAAGAGATTGAGACTCTGGTCGGGAATTATCCTATGCAAAGAGACTTTGTGGGCAACTCCGTTGGGGAAAGGTTTATTGTAGCCGTCCTCGTGGGGATAATGATAATGAGATAACTCTGCGGGGATATTTCATATACATTAAAGAGATGCTTGTTGCTGCTTAGCAGAACACATGTGACAAATAGTTTTAATTATGCTCATATGCATATGTTCATTCAATTTTAGTCATTGGAAAAATCAAACAGTTTACGATCTAATCACTTAATCACTACCCGTGCTATACTTCTATCTAAGACTCACCTAGGTATGAGGCCCTCCTCAAATCCCTTTAATCACTTACAGTGAAGAAACAATAGAATTAATAAGTTTAAAAACTTCAACCATTCAATGCTTAAAAGCTTATGAATGATACACAATTAACAACTCAAATAACAACACAAGTATTCAATCAATACTAGAGTATTTGACAATTAAAAGACTTAGACTTTTTAAAACAGAAAGAAGATATTCTTCTTCAAAAGTTGCAGTAGTTTGAATAAGGAAACAAGTCCTTATATATGCGCAGCTGTGGGCTTCGGATTAAAATCAAATATTCAATTCTTTTGAATATTTCCTTAAAAACAGGTCAGATAAAATCCATGTATTTTGAAAAATATTCCTCCATATTTTTCGTTGCCTGTGAGTCACAAATCTTGAATTATGGAGCACTGGAAAACAGGAAACAGAAAAACATATACTGATGTTTGCTGAGATCAGTTCAGGAGGCAGATGTCAAGACATCTGCTTTGACATCATTCAAAACAGTTTGCTACAAATGTCAAGACATTTAGCAAAAAATTAACAGCACATTGTTTTACCAAAACTGTTGCTAACAAACACTTACAGAATTGATACTATTTAGTGGACTTTTCCTGACTTGGTGGCCCCCTGAGTATGTGTTGTTGTACACTGAACCGGGTGAGCAATCTCTTGTGTTTTTACTATTACTGTTCTTTACTTATAAACAGATATTTGTGTCGTGACATCTCATTCGACATCACATGTCTGATATCAGAATTTCAGTATATGTGTTGAAGAAACGTAAGAGATGCTCAAGTCAACCGAAGAAGAATATATATACAATTTCCTTCACATAAAACGAATTAGTATTGTACAAAATGAATGTTTGTGGAATATACCTAATGTTTTAAACAACTAGGATTCTGCTACCTAGTTCTGAACTGTGTTATTTACAACAATAGTTTTCACACACTTTAAACAACTACGATTCTGCACTATCATTTCCCATAATAACCAATTCATATCTATACACTTCATCCTTTCTCTTTCAACTATATATCTTGACAAGTTCTGTCACTCCCATTTTAGTATCAAGGTCTTCTGATACTTAATGATACACTTGAGGCGATACATAAAACTCACTTTCAATAACAGCTGGTCTTAAATCTTCCTCGCACATGAAATCCAAAGGAAAGGAAACAAGATGTCCCTTTATACACTTCAATCTATCTATTGGGTCTATTATTTTTCTTTCTCCATTTTCGTGACAGATTAACTTGTCAGGGGCTATTCCCAAATCAATGGTGGTTTGGCCAAGTTTTTCTTTCCAGTGGACCATGCTTTGCCGAAGTGTGGCTCTGCTTACATCAGAGTATATTAATAATTCATTATACTAATTAATAGACCACAAACAAAATGAGACAAAATCATACAGAAGAAAATTGGGGTAAAAATCCACACCTTGAGTGTATCTGATCATTGGGAATGCAAGAAAAGATTTCATGGTATATTCTAGTATTTTCCTGTAACACATATAACAATGATTATACTATAGGAGCAGTGAGTAAAATAAAGTGGTTTCACTAAAGTAAGGTCAACTTGTTAATACGTTTTGTTCGTTTAAAAAAAATATTTTTCTTAAAAGCACTTTTGACCAAAATTAACTTTTAACCCCCCACCATTTTTTATATGCTCATGAGAAAGAACCACTTTCCAACCTCCAACACTTTGTCTTCAATCTTTGTCTCTCGAAGAAGCTTCGCGATCGGATGGTCCTTGAGCCTAAAAGGTTCAAATTTCTTAAGGAAGCAAGGTTCCACTCCAAGATCGTTAACTTAGTTGTGTCACATCATTGTCATATACTAATAATGATGATGCGACCTCAAGAAATGAAGGGGGAGTAAAAAAATCCCAAAAATTGTAATATAGAGACCAAAAATCTGGTTTTAGAAATGTGAAAACTAAAAAATGTTTTATTCAAAATATGGAGATCAAAACTACATTTATGCCAAAATAAAAAAAATTCTGCCTACTATATTGCAAAGATCTTACTACCCATTATTTTATTATGAAAATGTTGTGCTTAATTATTAAAGTGTAGGGGTTTAAGTAATGATATGATTTCTTAACAACATGATCAGCTAGGAGGATGCTGTTAAGAGGAAATACGCAAACCAGTAAGACACAATATACTAGATCTAGCGAAGTCTAACCTTTGCAGTTGCTGACCACAAATCCTTGTAAGTTGAATCTGCCACTGGATCATTGATTTTATTAATCTGTAATGAGATAGATAATATTGTCAGGATTTAAACTGATGAACGAATTTGGATTTTCCATTCGCTGTTCACTACAACTATAGAGAAAAATAAAGGAGATGATTCAATTTCCTGATGAAATAATAATTTGTTAGCATGTTTACTCGTGGAAATTATGGTTGAGCACTTGAGCTAACTAACAATTTGAAACATTGTGTGTTTGCTGCAACAATGTGGTTTATGCATATAAAAACTCAAAAATCTGATCATTTTGACTAACCTCTCCAGTATGAAGACCAAGATGTTCAGACCACAGGGAACAGCGGAGGCTATGGGAAAATTTACCAGCCTTCCATGGCTTTCCATTCATCAATGATTCAACATATTCTTTGTCCTCTATAACCACTCCAATCTAGTAGATAAAAAGAACGAATTAAAGCAACTTTCTAAAATCTAGAAATATATGGCTAATCCTTCAGAAAAAATATTAGAAACCTTTTCTATACTTAAATTTTAAGAGTCTCACATCTTACTAACAAGTTTAGTTGAACACATATTTTAGAAAATAAAAACAAAAATATTTTTGCGAAGTAAATGGGGCCTAAGCTTTTAGAAGTAGCAGTTTATAGTGTGACAAAAGCAGGTATTAAGCGTACCTCAGAATCTCTTGATCCAAGCAAACTCCGGTCATTTATATTAGATGATCCAATCAAAGCTACACGGTCATCAATTATCATCAACTTACTGTGCACATATACCTGTACAAGTATTGGAATATACATCATACGAAGGAAAACATATGTGTTGTTCAAATCATTATAAAAGCTAAACAATGTGTATTATAAGGTCTAGAAGATTAAAACTGCTTTTTCTATAATCATTTCAAGGCTTGTTCATAGTCCTGAGTGAAAATATTCAATAAAAGTATATAGAATGGTAACTAATCACCTGACTTGTAGCCATAGGACCATCTGGGTAAAGCCTACCATGAGATCTTAGACCATAAAAGGAAATATAGTCATGTGTCTTACGACCAAGAATAGCTTCAAGATTGTGTAATATGGAGTGCTTTTCTCTAGAAATTGTTCTGTACTGCCAATGTGTCAAGGCTCTCACAGTTGCAGCACCACTATCATCCAGACCACCCTGTTAGTGAGTGATAATTCATAAATGTAAAATATTTAAGCCTGCAGAAAAGAGGACTGAAATTATAAACGAAAGGTGAGTAACATTTACCTGGAAGCCAGGCAAGAGGGGCATCACAATTATAACTCTAAAGTCTTCCTGTTCTTTGTGAGCTTGCAAAATACGCCTGTATATTGCTTCCAAAATACGGTTCTGTATAGTGTCATCCATTGCTAGACCTGATACGAAAAATTGGTTCTGAATTGAAAACAAAAGGAAAAGAAGGGAGAAATGAGTTCATTATTAGTGAAAGTATGAAATTCATGGATACTAAACTACTATGCTTTGGGTGCATGTGTAGTTTAAGCAGTCACTCAAAATATAATTCAATACTTAGACACGACTAATATTGCGATAACATGAGTATCTTGGTATTAAGGCCTCAAAGTGCAACACGAACATTAGAGGGTACAGTGCAAGTGATAATAACCCATGAAATGATTTTGAGATGGAGTTCTAATTTCTAAGATCTAACAAAACCATAGTCTGTTATGTTATTGAAATTTGTTTTCAAAATAGAAATATTATTAGATCATATATGACATTAACTTTTTTAAGCACAATAACAAAAACAATACCTCCTATATTCAGTATCAGATGCAGAATCAGAAACCAAGTTGAGATCATGTGACATATATGCTTCATGTTGTTACAATGCTTAGAAGGAGATTGTTATCCATAATGAGGCAAGATCAAAAGAAGTCTACTTCCACATAGTTAATTTACCTCAATGTAAATAAAATGCTTTGCCTTTTCAATAAGAGAACAATATGCAGTGTGAATGCTTTCTTCAGGTTGACTTGCTCCAACAGACCACTGGCTTACACTTCTGATTACCTGTAGATTTCACATGCATCCAAGATGGCAGCAGATAAATAGTCATGCAAAATCAAACTAATAAAAAATTAGGACAATCAGAAACTAAGCAATATTTAGTGTTAGACTCTTTACATAAACACGGTTAACAACTTTAGGTCCTTTGGCATGGACCATGGTTATTGAAGATGCGACATCTGTGAATATAATAATTTATTTTACAAGTAACTATAACAATATTACCAACTTAAATAAAATCAGTAAAATGATTCCTTCTAAAACTGTTCTAGGAACATAATTTTGCAAATTTCATTTTATAAGCCCTTACTCTTTATATTATCTGTTTCTGATCAAATTTATACTTGCAAATTCTGATACAAGTTAATTTCTTTTCTCCTAATTTGATTATGGTGATATGTCATCCACAAAAAAATTATTCTTCATACCGATATAAAATTTTCTCCCCCTAATCTCTAATGAAGAAACAAATATAGATGTTAATCTTATCAAGATGGGTTACAGAAAAAAAATGTAAACTTCGTATGAATATGTGATCTTTATATCCTACATACCTTTTACCAAGAACAAGAGTCATATGTTACCGGTCGCAGTTGAATGTGTTAAGAAAGATAAGCAAATTCATTCAGGAACTGATGCAAATTTTCACACTAAGCATACAAGACCAGAAAGGCATAACTAACCTGACAGTGACCAGTAGTACGTGGGCCAACTTGTTCATATTCCAAAGTAGAGGCGTCATTGGCACTTTCAGGTGTTTCCCACCAATCATCTACAGCATCAACAGCGCATTGAGGCCCGAAGTTAAAAGGAACAACTTCATCTCGAAACCCTTTCTTCTGGTTATCTGAAACTAAAATTTCACCTGCCAGATTTTGAGACAATAATGGAGAACTTTCACTGGAATTTCTATCATCTCCGTTTGAAGTAACTGCTCCATCAGCTTCTTGAGGTAAAAGTAACGGTATATCTTGCAATGGAGATTGTAAGGAGAATGAATCCTGCCTGTCAATTTCTTTTTTGTTGTCTTCATCTTTCTTATCATCAATGTCAATCTCTTTGCTTCTTCCCATGTAATGTGGGATGACCATGTGATGGTGAGGCATAAGTAAAGGAATTTCATGTTGATTTGGAGCTTTAGTTCTCTATGATATGTTGCGCCAAGTAAGAGAGAATCAAAATAAAAAAAGAACCATTTAAGATTAAGTACACATCATTTAGTATATACCCTAGCATGATTCCAACGTTGAACAAAGTGCCGAGCAATGTCACGGCAGGGAGGTCCCCAGAGAGCACAATGGACATCATGCCATGGCATACGTGGATATTTTTGGCGATCGAATTCATCTGTCATGGTGTCTTCCCATGAGTTTGGTTCAGATTCTCTATACATGAATAAAAATTCCAGAAATCAACTCTCTAAAAACATGAAGGAAAAAAGGCACCAAGCACCAAACTAAATCAGGGTTTTCATCACTCATAAGCAACAGCGATGACTTTTCATTCCTATACCTATGAATTTCATCACTTATTAACCAAATGTATGATTAAATTCTACTTCTCATTCTTATGGATGTAATACATTGTACATATAACACACGTCTAAATCCTTACAAGGGACCACACAACATTAACTGTTAAGGAACCTGAACATTTTCTTTTGTAACAAACACATATATGCAGTGGATTATATTGCAAAATTATTAATTTTTAATTAGAAAAGTAGGAAAAAAGAATTACCTTGGATTGTAATAGTCCTTTCCGGGCCATATTACAGAAGGGCTATCACCCACTTTGTGTTCAGGTGTGTCAAATCGTCCAAAGCTTAAGTCTAATCCTCCAAGAAAGCAAACCTTGTAATCAATAATTACAAGCTTTTCATGGTGCGACCTGTAAGAAACCAAGCCAACACAATCATAGACTCATGCATAAGATACACCTGAATTTATACCAAGTTAATTTTCGCACTTAATTTATTTATCAACAAATAGTACATACCATAAATACACACGAGAAGCAAAATGGTCGGGAGAGCGTAATACCCTCACATTTTCATGAATTTTTAGCAGTCTTCTCATACTGTACAAGCTGTTGATTTTCAAAGCTATAGAAACCTCCTTGTAGAGAAGCACATAGATCTGTACAACCATTTAATGGCATAAACTGATGAGCATGATTCTCTTTTATGTAATTTATTCTTATAAAGCATATAAGCAGCTGAATATGGACAAAACAAATGAAACTGACTCTATCAATTAGAATAATGTGTACCTGGACCCCTTGTTTAGCTTTTTCTTCCAATAAAGAGTCTAACCTACAGGTAGGAAAACTATCAAAAGGCCGCCTCAGGTATAGCTCTGGGCACAGCCACCAACCTGTTATGAAGATCTGCAACCAGTTTACATATTACTTATCATTGATCATTGAATTGTGACACCAAAGCAATTTAAATGTACTATTATTAAACAATGGAAAACATGTACCTCTGATTTTGCATCTTGAATTGAAGAAGCAATTGCTTCAAATGCTGCTTCTCCATCTACAAACCATTGGGCTTGGCTCCCATCTACAGTCAAACCTCTTATGGGAGCAAATGAACCAAAGCGATGAGGACAACACCCACCCTCCATAGGTCTTAGACCAGCTTCATTAATTGCAGTAACCCAAGTTTGAACTTTAGCACTGCTGATAGTTCTCAAGCATATACTTCTGTTTCCACTAGTAACCTATTAGTAATTTCAAAAAATTATTTTGTTATCATTAGTTTTATCCAATACATAAACTAAACTCTTCTCTGAACTCATAAGGAAAAAAAAAGTTCTAAATTAAAGTTTGATGACCTTGATTTTTTATGGTTAATGAGAAATTGAAAAAGATAGTTGGGAACATTATATGTCTCGAGATGACGACAAATTCTTTGACCCTCTTTAAATTAAGCTTTAGTATCATCATATTAGTTGAAGTAGTACAATAACTGAAGTTTTTGAATTAATTTGGAGGTCATCATCTCGAACATGACATAACTAAATCCATTTGTCTGAACATTAAAGTGTAAGTTATGTTGAACCTAAAATGTTCAATTTAGATTAACCAACAAACAATCAAAGATTCAGAACCAAATCCCATTGATAAATATATAATATAACAAGAAAACAAAAAAACAGTTATATCATCATCATACTTTTGTAATAACAGGTCAATCTAGTTGCTTGGTTTGAGTGAGACAACAAAGTAGACCCAGTGCATAAGAGATTTAAATATTTTTGATCTTCAAGTTTTAAAAAGTTCCATAAGAGACAAAATCGGATCACCTTAAATGTGTAACGCAAAGGATTGCGTTCCTTTATAGGTTCAGCTAAATATATTTTGGTCTCTCCTTTTCCGGGTGAGGATGGAAGGACATCAAACATAATTATATCCAGTGGCTTGTTATTGAAGGGATCATCCAGCAAGGCCAAAAACCCAGGTTTCAAAACAGCCCATACCTGTGAGCAGAAAATGTAATCTAGATTAAAAAAACTAGGTTCAATGAGGAAAAGAGAGTTGCAAGAGAACATACATAAGTATAAAGTGGATTCTCTCCCCAGGAACTGTATGTTTAAATTATTTCCGTATTCCTACTTTAATTATCGAATCAAATCTTATAAAATTTTCAGTTAGAGATATAATATTAAATTGTTTACATCATTATGTCTCTTCATCTAATAGCTTAAGCTTTGAGGACTATTGGTTGATGATAAGTACTATCAATTAGTGTTAACCAAAACTCGTAGATCTTGATCTACTAAGCAAAACAAAAAAAAGATAGGTCTCGCTTGCCTAATATTCTGTATATATTGACAGTAATTCTAATTGGTTAGAGGTAATTAACATTTATAGCCAACTGAATCTAGCAGATTACTATAAAATGTGTAACCATAATATGATCACTAATATTCAATATTTCTGTTGATCACATCCCTTACTTATCTCCATGGTACGCATACAGCTTATGTTTCTGATATGGAAAATGATGTGTTCGCTTTTTCTGTGTTTCCTATGTCGCAGATTGCGAATGCATTCATTGTCATTATGTCATGTTTTTACCAAGAAAATCCTAGAGATAAGTCATGTAATGGCAACTAATTAGATTTTTGAAACTAAATTCAATCTACCATTACATGCCTGGCATTGGAGCATTCGACCTTGAAACTTAGTTACATGGAAGATGTGACTGCAAATGATCATAATAAAGGTACAAATTAACTGTATGTCACAGGAAAATGTTGGTTGATATTCCACTAAGACTATAGAACATAAGATAGCTAAATAAGTACTTAAAATACTAAGTCAGCAAAACTTTATATCCAAAGATCATGGGAAAGTATTGGGCATGCTAAGATTTTGAAGTTAATGTTAAAATGTAACAAGAAAGCACTGAATCCAAAGGTCCAGCTGGTTAGATTAATTCAGTTCAGAGCCACACCTGCATTTAACTTTGGAATAATATGCAGCCAAACAAACTAAGCTATCGAATATCACCCAAAAAAGCAGAAAAAATAAAAATAAAAACAGCAAAAACTCCAGAAACAAACCTTCTTCCAATTGTTATCACAAAATTGAAACCAGTGACATGGAAAGCAAGTTACATCTGAATCCTGAGAAATATTTAACAAATGCTTCACAGTTACATATCCCTCTCTCAATTTTGGACCATACTCTTGTAAAAAAGATAGCTTGGAGACCTCCAAAAACTTGCAGACCTATAATCCAAAGCCATATTTTAGCTCCACAAAAGACACATTACATACACGGAAATTAAGAATCATATGACAAACACACATATCTAAAAAACTCATACAATCATCAACTGCAAAGCTTTACTTGTTACCTCTCGAGAATTCACAATCTCTAGGTTTCCTAAAAAGAGATCCAAATAATTCTGCATTGTAACTTTGGCTCTGTCTGCAACCGACTGCTGGCCCCTTAGTGACGGACGAATTATTGATAGGGCAGCAACTGATGGGACATATCTATTCAAAAAACCATATTTATAAGTACATTTCTTAAGCCGTCTTTGAGAAATAAAACTTAAAGAACTACATCTACTAAATTTTGAAGGGTTTTACTTTGTACTATAGCTTAGTGCTTGAAATAAGTTACATAAACTATGTATCTAAATAATGTTTGGAAAGGCTAGAAATATATAATGCAGTCTAAAAAGTTAACCCCTTTTGCCCTTGCTTCACCTTTTTAAGAATCAACTATATCATGCTTTGCCTAAATTCTTCAATGAAAGATTTGATACTGAGAATAAGTTATTCTAATGCTAGTCATTACATTCCTGACCTATTACCTGTTTTTAACACTGTCTTCATGATGTATTGGTACATCTCCATCATCAGGTTCTTCATCATCTTGCACCATTACTGTTTGATCTACTATTCCTAAGCTATGAAGCCACTCTTTTACCTTTAGGAGAAAGTTATTAATAAAATATCAGACGGTATCATATCAATCATAATAAAGGAAAGTCAAGTTATTAAAAATATGTATTTTCTCACATAATAAAACAAAGTAAGACAATAGTAATTTAGTTATGGAACATATACATGTATAATATAGATGTGAGAATTGTGTCATCACAGGTAGCACTGACACTTTGAAACTTGTATCCAACACAGACATATGTGATTACATTCCGCGACACTTGTGATCGAATGTGTATCTAGTGTACGACACCAACATATGTGATTACAATCCGTTAATCTATTTTTTCAAACTATTATTGGCGCTGGCGTGTCAGTATTGATATGAATTAAAAATTGCAAACCTGTTCTTGCTTGTCATGAAATTCTTCAATTATTGCACGTTTCCGCAATGCAAACTGTAAATAGAGAACTTGTGATGCTTTCTTCCTCAAACGCCACTTGAACTGTGAAATACAAATCAAAGTTATTGCCTTAACATTGGTCAGACAGGAACTGCATGCACAGCTTATTGTAACATGATTCAAACATCAAAAGGTTCTAGATAGCCAAAACAAAAGGATATAATATAATGAAATAAATTAAAGTCGTATTTAATATTCATAAATGATCCATCGTATAAGTCCCTCAATGATTGTGTAAAGACACACCAACTAATATCTATACTATTCTTAATTAATCAATATCTTAAAATTAAATTAAAAAAATAAAACACCTATAATATTCATAAATTGCTATTATAGTTTTTCAATTTCTAGGCATAGTAGTTGGATTGGCATAACGTGGCAAGTGGTTATTCCTGAAAACTCGGTTATGAACAACACGCAGCAAAACCAAACGATAGCAATTGATTCAATTTTCCCGCTAATAATTTTCATCAAGAATCAAAGCAAAACAAAATGTAAACAAATTAGCATGCCTGTTTATACTGCAACTCAATTGTATACGAAAGGAGAATCGGACTTATTTCACCGGTCTCCGGCCGCGAAACGGATACGATACTGGCTTTTGGCAGGTCCTCGAAAATCCTCGGAGGTTCGCCGCATTGCTGGGACGATGATGACGCTCTATCCGAAGGTTGAATCAACGGCTCCGATGACATCGATCGGAATCAACGATCAATTTCTACGGTGGAGTTGTTTGAGCCAGAACTACACAAGTACACAGCACGTTACTTTATTATTTAAGAAACGAATATGAAAATAGCATGAGAAGAGGTTTTTATTTTAAAATACTTACCAAGTAGGGATACGTAATAAATATTTTAAATGATTGGAACAGAATATTTTAGGTACTGTAGAAAAATACAAGTCAAGTTGCAAAGGCCAAAAAGAAGTAAAAGGACTATATGGTGCATGCAGGTGCTGGTTTTCTGGCAATAATAATGAGTCTCGTTTGCTTTCAGATGTGGAAGGGTAAGTTTGGTATTTGGTTAAAAATGAGAAGAGACGAATTGAAGCATAGTTGTTGTTGATGGCTGCTGCGGGTGCACATGGGATATGCTTTAGTTTAGATGAGAATATCCAAGTTTTGATACTTGTTATTAAGAATATGCCAAAGTGTCATATGAATATATCATTGAAATTCCTTAGTATTAACAAATTCATTCAAGCTTGTAGCTAATAATGCCATTGGAATCGGCATCTTGCCTCACTTGCCATTATTGTTTCCAATTTTATAATACGTAATTAAGTAAATAAATAAAATATCATCTTAAGTTTTAATCCTTCCAAATTAATTAAGTAAACATTAATTATATTATCTAAAGTTTTAATCCTTTATAATTTGGCTAGCGTGCGGATACACGGCAGCCAGAGACGGGCGATTTTCTCTTGCATTAATATTTAACTCTAAGTTTTTCCCAAAAAAAAATAAAAATAAAATATATATATATATATATATATATATATATATATATATATATATATATATATATATATATATATATATATATATATATATATATATATATATATATATATATATATATATATATATATATATATAACTTTAAACTTCTATTTTTTTATTTAATTTTAAGAATTTACATAATACATCATAAATTTGGAGACAAACTTTATAAATACATGACTTTCGCCTATAAGAAAATAAGACAAAGTAAAGAAAATGTAAACTCAAAAAAAAAAAATTTTTCAAACATAAAAGTGAAATATGGAAACCATATCATCCTAGAGATCATGCAATTAAAATATCTTAGATACATAATATAAAATAACTAGATTGAGACCCGCGTGATACGCAGGACATTGATGAATTTTTAAGTAGTATTGAATTATATAAATTTTAATTTTGTTTAATATAAAAAGTATTGTAATTGAGTCGATAAGATGAAGAGGATAAAAAAGAGAGAATAAATTTTAATAAAAAATGTTTGAATTATTAAAATGATAAATAAGACGTTGCTATTTGTTGGAGAGAGTTACTAGGAGCATTGATACATAGTATAAGAATAGACACCTTTGTCAGAGACACACCACCTGTCCACCTAAAACCTTAAGGTGTGTGGGTTCTCTCACTTAAAACCTTAAGGTGTGTGGATTCTCTCACTTATATATGTTTAAATCTCTCCACTTACTCACACTTGCATTATTATTCTAACACTCCCCCTCAATTGTGAGTCTACAATACTCCTCCTCAAGACACTTACATCGTCGTTGACACCTTACAATGGGACACCTCTTCTTGGGTGTTTCGATACAAGTAAGTCGGTCACTTTCTCGAACCAATGACTCTGATACAATGTTAGGGGAAGTTACTAGAAGTATCGATACATAGTGTAAGAATAGGCACTTTTGTGAGAGACACACCATTTATCCACCTAAAACCTTAAGGTGATATGTGTGTGGATTCTCTCACTTATATATGTTTAAGTCTCCACATTCCTATCCAATGTGAGACTATTTTCCCACTTACTCACACTTGCATTATTATTCTAACACTATTTAATTTAAAAATGCGAAATAAGTGGAAAAAATTCAACAATTGTTTTATATTTCCTTTAACTTTTTTCAAACATTTTAAAAAATGTTAAATCTTCATCATTTTATGAATATGAGACATTCTGTATTCAAACGACTTAGACTCTATGTAATCAATCATCACAGTCAGTATTAAGATAAAAAATGAACTTCTCTACTTTTTGGAGAATGCATTTTTTATTTTGCATTTTATTTCTCATGAAAAATAGACATGTCTAATAGGCACCATTGACTATTAAATTCTCAAATCATTAAGTTATCTTAAAATATAATAAAGCTATATGAGAATTTGGACAAATTTGCCACTTGTCCTATTCTAAGAAGCCTTCCTATTTTTATATTTTCTATTAATAGTAAAACTACTAAAATCATCTTGGTATATTATTTTTTTAATTTTTTATTTCTTAATCACCTAATAATTAATGATTGATAATTAATATTTCAAAAGATATTTTTGATTAATTTTTGATTACATTCATATGCTGTCACAAGCGTATGGGCAATATTGTTTATCATAAATGTAGAAATAACCAAACAAACCTAAGCGTAATCCTTGGGAATTCCAAACGGTTATTAGAACTAATACAATAATTTGGCGCCGCTTTAGCAATTCATTCTTGAAATCGACCTTCTCTCTTTCAAATCTAATATCTCTTAATCGATCTCCTCTCTTCCAAATCTAATATCTTTTTTCTTGTACCTAATCATGTCATCGTTAATTTCTTTTCCCAAAACATTTTGTAACATGGAATTGTCGCTACAATTTTCCAGGTATCCAGTGTTAATTTCTTTCGATTAAACGCATATAAATAGGAACAAATTCATCAATATTCAATCACACTCCTTCTAATACGTTCATCTCTACATATTTTCATTTTTTGACTTCTCGATTTTGTATCAGGTTGTTGCAATGGCTTCCGTGAGAAACGATTTTGTTAAGGAAATCAATCCCTCAAAGGAATCATGGGACATTGTTGTTGGGGTGAGTCTCTTATGGTTTGTTCCAGATATCAATTAGAAAGAAAAATATTTTGCAATTGATATGGTTCTAATGAATGAGAATGTTGTTGTTGTTGTTGTTGAAGTTTCCTTTTTTGTATTCTATGTCGATTATATTATATAGTTTTATTCTAATTCGTTCTATCTATAAATTTGTAAGGTGACAAAATTTAAGCTTCAGTTAGAAAAGCTCTGTTGTCTCGATTTGAAAATAAGATACGTGAGGGAATGGTGTATAATTTCAAATCTTTCGGTGTCTCCGCTAATACTGGAGAATATAGGACCATAAAACATCAATTCAAGTTGAATTTGCAGAATGGCACAGTGGTTACAGATGTTGGAACTGGACAGATAACAATGTCCCCTTACTCAATTATATATTTCCCAGAGATTGTTGGGAAAATAGACATGGACTACTTGATTGGTAAAATCATTTAAATCTCGATTTTGTATAAATTTCGGTGATGTATTAAAATTTTGTATATTCTAATATTTTTCTTTTTGATCAGCTTAATTTTGGTGTCTTTATTTTGTAATAGATGTTGTGGGAATTCTAGCCGGGGTTGGACGTGAAAGAGTCTATGAGAGGAATCGTGTAACTACTAAGTATAAAGTTATTGAGTTAGAGTCCAATAGGTAAGCTATTTTATCTGTTAGAAATTTTTTAATTTCATTTGTCATTTATATGTAACTTATAAACATTATAATAACTGGTTTCATTTTTTCTAACACTTAGTATGAAGCTTGAATCCACACTTTTTGGGTCATATGTTGGTGACCTTCATGCATACCTCCAATCGGGAAACACATGAAATGTTGTTGTGCTTGCATAGTATTTGAAAGTCAAAACCTATAATGGAAAAATCCAATTTAGAATGCAATAAATTGTACCAGGCTATTGTTCAACCCAAATATTTCTAAGGCAAATAGTTTCAAACTCAAGTAAGTTGTTACTAATAATTTGATCAATTTTGATATGTGATTTTTTCCATTAATTATTTGTGATTACTTGTATTTCTTGCTTATCAGTGATAACATTGGATCACCCACTCAACCATTTAGTTATATGAAGGATTCTTCTGATTTGAGCTTAAAAGAAGAGTTCTTAAATCTGTGTCAATGCAAAACAATTGAGGAACTAAAAGAATCTCAAAATGTAATCTTAATTAGATTTCTATTTCATTCTTATTATACAGCACACGCTATATATATATATATATATATATATATATATATATATATATATATATATATATATATATATATATATATATATATATATATATATATATATATATATATATATATATATATATATATATATATATATTTAACATAATTATTACTTTTTTTTGTGTAGGACATGGTTTGTATGGTTTTAGGCACAATCAAACATGTTATTGGTGGCAATGATTGGTGGTATGTTACATGCGTCTGTGGCAAGGGAGTTGTTGCAGATTCCAAAAGGTTTTTCTGCCCTAAATGTAATAAGCATGTTTGGTCCATTGTGCCTAGGTGATTGTCCTAAAATCATTCTATTGTTCATGAGCAGGTGTATAATTTGCTAGATAGTATTATCTAACTTGTATTACTTTCTTAATTATATAGGTACCGTGTCAAACTTAGAGTGGTTGATGAAACTGACTCTGCTACTTCTGTGCTTTTTATCGTGATTGTTGTTTGCTGACAAAGAAGACATGTTATGATTTGATTGAGGAAATGGATTGCGTGAGTAATTTTATTATATTCATTTGTTAAATGTTTTTATTATCTTATTCAAATTGATTTCATTTCTGATAGAAACTTTGTTAAATAAATATGTGGACTAGGAACTTGAGCCAACCATTGTGTCTAGAGTTATCGGTGATTTGGTTGAACAGACTTTTCTTTTTAAGATAGATGTAAAGACTGATGTGAATTCAGATGTTTCTTTAGAAACAATCACAATAGTAATTTTGTTAAGTAGATTGGCTTGAAAGGATATCATCTTTGATCTTGCCTTCTTATGGACTATTGAGTCCACAAGAAATTTCTTTCCTTGATCCTTTCTTCTTATGGAATACTTCTGATTTTGAATAGGAGTGTGTATTCTATGAACTCTCAGAGTCTTCAGAATCTTGACTTTGTCTTCAGAAATATGAGCAACAACTTTTCTGATGAGAAAATCTTGACTTCTGATTTTAGAGAAAGAATCTTTTTCTTTATGTGTTTAGAATCTTGACTTTTTCTTCAAAAATATAGCAACAAATCTTTTGATGAACAAATCTTGACTTCTGATCTTTATGTTGGAAGCTTATTTCTTGTACGCTCTTGATTTCTGATCTAGAAGTAACAACTCGTTAGAAATTCTTTCTTCTTGTAACTTGTGATTTCTGAAGCATCAACTTATTGAGAAGTAAACATGTAATCCTATTTTTGGAGAACATTCAACATTCTTCAGAATTGCCGATGTTTCTTCAGAAATGGATGTGAACAGTCTTTTTGATGTGCTTAGCGTGTTTCTGATTCTTCAGACAATAGTCCTGAATCAAATAGGATTTCTTATCTGCACACTCAAGAAACTCATTAGAACTAAAATGGTTTCTCATCAAATATATGTGTTGTTATCATCAAAACATCAAGATTATCTTATAGACACAAATCTTGTTCTAACAACTTCTCCTCTTTTCCAGCATCTCAAACTTTCAAGCTACTTCTCATCATTTTGATTAGGTAAGTATTTCCAAAATTTAATCTCTTTTTATTTTTTGATTTGTAAATAGTTGTTTAGATACATTAGATGTATTAGGTAACAGTAGACAATAGTGTAAACAAAATGGTAGGAGAGAAGAACACGAATTGCATGTTTTTAGGACTGGTGGAGCAGAAAATAGGTTCCTATCATGGGAGAAAATTTTAAATTTTGTCCAGAGACGCATCTCTGGATGTGCTCTGCATCGTTTTAGGGGATATATCTCTGGATTATACTCAGGAAAAATTAGGTGTTTTTAGTTCTCTATTTTTATGATTGACATCAATTTTAGTAAAATAAATATGGTAGCACTATGTTAAATTGGATGAATTAACTTGTTGAGAAAAATATGTTGAGTTGAGAGATTCATGAACTTAAGCAATATGTTAGACAAGATGTCATATGCTGAGTCATTTGACATCATGACTATGTTAGGCCAGGCTGTCGGATCGGTTTAAGATTTAATAGATGTAGAATATTATGGAATACTATGTTATCATATGTGGCGCTTATTTTAAGGTATGGAAGATTCAAGTTGAGCTTAAGAAGAATATTGACTTTCTAATTATGGATAAAAATTAGGAAGTTTATGATTGAAGACCTATTTTATGCAGAAGTTTATGCAGTTTTGTTGCAGCTTATATGCTGCAATTTGAACCCCAAATCCAGTTGGGAAAAGAGTTATAAATAGAAGTGGTTGTAACCTAAAATAGAGGGAGTCCATGATGTAGAAGCATTAGGGCTTTATCTATGTGCCACTCTCTAGGAGAGTTGGTCTGTGTTATTTGTGAGCCTCTTTAATATCATGTTGATAGAAAAGTAGGATTGTGCTTTGTGATCGGTGGATCTGGAACTGACTGTTTAACGCTGGTTCGCGAAATGTCGCGGAAGCAAGAGTCGCCACCGTCTTTTATTTTCTCCAAATGGAAAGGACAAAAGCACAGAAAAATTCCTTAAAGAGATTGCTCTCGGTTCGGGAGGTAGATTATAGAAAGGGAAGGTGTTAGCACCCTTTCTATCCATGGTTATCCATGGGCTCTTAGATACTTGCTCATTTGTGTTTTCAAAATTGTTTGTTTGCTTTTCAACGTGGGTTTTAAAAAAGTTCTTTGAAAGATTTCAGATCGACTCATACGTCAGAGTGTTTGAAAAGTTTGCTTTGAAAGCTTTTGAAAATGTGTTAGTGTGAAAAGTCTTTTTGAATTTGTTTTGAGATTAGAGCAAGTATCTATGAGAACCTACCTACCCTAAGGAATTCGTCTGTGTAAATGTCCTTTAAAGTAGTGCCATCCCACCATTGAGAGGTAGGTAGCACCACCGTTGGAGGTGTTCGGGTCAATTCGATTTTGAGGGTCATGGTGATCACCAGAGCAATGGGAAGACACCTTAGAAGCTACCCTCATGCCAGGTTCCCGGATCATGAGGACTTGCTAAGACATCCTCTACTCGACGATCACCTTTCGAAAGGCAACAGTGAGGCGTACCCTAGGGGTGGTGTGTGCGAATTGTGTGTCATGTTTCAGTTATTTGTCTTGTCATGTTTGTCGTGTTCTACGCTTGATTTTATTTAGACGTTCATTCTTGCATGCTTTTTAACAGTTATAAGTTGCGAGGAAATAAATCTAAATTATTACAAATGGCGCGGGTCCACATCGCCAAAATTAAACCGGACCCGATTTAGCGGAAAATAAATAAAGCGATAAAATAAAGTGCGAAAAATAAATTTACATGGCTTTGGGAGATTTACATAATTATTTAAACGATTATAAAATAAATGTGCAAAATAAAGGAATTAAACAAAACTAGGGCGTTGGACCCTTTTACAAACAATTAAAATTAATGAGGAGATTAAAATTAAAATTAAATAAAAAATGGTGTTTTTGTGTTTTTTAGATTTGATGAGAAAAAGGAGTTAATTGAAATTAAATTAAACGGCAAACCCTAATTCTAATATTTTTTATTTTATTATGAAAGAGTTAAAATATAATCTACATTAAACCCTAATTTATTTATGTACAATTTTTAATTTATAAAAAATAAATAAATAATATTATTATTCTGAAAAAAAAAGAAAATTAAAAAAGAAAATCAAAAGTAATTAACCTAAACTCTATTTTTTTGGATTTTTACTTATTAAAAGAATTAAATTTGAAAACCTAATTAAAACTAAATAATTACAAACATTTGTGAAAATAATTATAATACAAAAATTATATTTTTTGGTCTTTTCTGAATTTTATGATGTTTTTTATATTTTGTAAAAAAAGAGAAAATTAATTAATTAAAGCAATAAAAATAAATCACACAATAATTAAAATAATAAAAAAAGATAAGGAAAGCAAACCAGAGTGGGGTGTTGCCCCAAATAAGGAGGTTCAGGCCCGGAAGTTCTGGCCCAACAAGAGTTGATTCATTGACTTCTCCAATTTGGTGTACCAACGCGTTGACCTAGGCTCAGTGGACCTTCAATCTCAACCCTTGATCTATATCCATTGGGCATGTGTACGCTTGGATGAGGGTAGAATATGGTGTACACCACTATGAGCGCTGCATGGAATAACGTATTGAAAAATAATGTGAGAAATTACGCAGACCTGGGACTTGAACCCAGGTCTTGAGGATCATTCATGTCACGTGCTACCAACTGAACCAAACGCTTTTAGTTAACATATAATAACACGTAAATATAATAAGTAAAACATAATGCTAATTGGTTAAAAATGCGCGAATTTCAAAAGGGCCTATCACCAATTGACACGATGCCTTCGTCTTCCTCACCCTGTAATACAAAACACTATGGGAACGGTTTTTGAAGCGTTGTTTTAGAGGGGCTAGCAGAAAATAGCGAATAGCTCCATGAGCTTCATAAATTGTTCGCGAGGTATGTGTTTGCTTCGTCTTAACCTGCTCAATTCAACCATGATACTCACGAGCCCTAATTTTTCCTCTACGCAAAATCCCTATTTTAAGAAACCTGCAACCCTAATATTCAAACATGGCGAATTCGTATATATGGCACAAAAAAGCAATTGAATGTAATGGTTAGCTCAGAAACATCATTGTAAGCAATAATCCATAAATAAAAATGCAAGAGGATGCTTAATTCATGCTATGCGATTTCAGAATTTTTGCTTCACAGTTGGACTTAGGAGTACCAATTCAAGGCGTTTTTGCTGATGTTAATGATTGAGAAATGTTCAAGAATGTCTCAGGATGCTATTGGAATGAGAGTTGATGCTTGAATCGACCTAAAACCTTGATTTCAGTTTTCAGTTTTAAGGCAATTTTCTCAAGTTTGTATGTTGGTTTCTTGCGCAGCTTGCCGTCTTTTTGGCATTAGGTCTTGTTCTAGTACTTGTATGGAAGCTATTAGGTCAACAATTTTCAACAAAAATCTCTTGCAATTATGGGTTGAAGATTTGATTTTTTTTCCATTATACTTTCAATCTTTTTCACATGGTTTTTGTGCAAATCATATCCAATTCAATCCAATTCTTCCTAATCAGCATGTGCACGAAATATTGACCTTGAAAAGTGTACAAAAAGATTTTTTTAGGTTAGGTTTATATTTTTCATGTATTAAAATGATTTAAATGAATATAAATTAATATAAATTCAAATAAATAATTAAAAAATATGAAAATACTTCCCTTTGGGCCTAGTGGTCGTGCATAGGCTTGGCATGAAGAAATTTGGAAGAAAAATGGGCCCAATAGCAAATTTAGGTCTTTTGCATCAATGTTGACTTTCCAAAATTCCCAAAAATTTCCCAACTTCCACAAGGCATAACTTGGTCAATTTTTAAGCTTTTCACATGTTCTTGGACATTTTGGAAAGGTCTTTGAGTCCTTTAACCAATGCCTTTTGTCCCATGTCATTTTGATTTACCAATCTCAAGTTATGGCCTTTGACTTAAAGTCACTTTTTGTTGACTTTTGAAAATGACCTATAATGTT